CTGATCTTTCTTATGGACCTAATTTTGGCATCCCTTGACTTCGGCAAGATGTGTATGATTCACATTACTTCACCAAGTATAATCTCTATGTATTCAAAAATCCATCGACACTTGAGTCACATATCTCACAAAGGGTAACAAGCGAAAAAGTGAAAAAAAGAACTTTGAAGTTGAGGAGAGGCGAAGAGGATTACTGATAGGATATAATATATTTGATTGCAATTTACCTTATTTAGCTTGTGCATAATTGATTTAGTCTTGTAGAATTGATCTATTCTCTCCTTGATTGTAGGATCTAGATACTTTGTATAGCCTATATATTGTACGCTTGTTATTTTTTTCAAATCAATGAAACACATTTGCACCAATCCTTACATGGTATCAGAGCAGTATTGTACGTTGAATCTACTCCTTCTCAAGCTGCTTTTTATTCCACTACTCAACATCCCTCCCAGTCATCCAATCAACGCTCTCAATCTAGGTCACGTTCTTCCTCAAATGGCAAAAAAGCCCGTGGTCAACAAAACTCAGGACAGTCATTGCCAAATCTGCAGGGGAGAAGGTCATTATGCCACATTTTGCCATCAACGCTATGCAGGTGCCCCACCTCACTCTGCCAACCTTGCTAAATCATTTGCAAATTCTTGCAACATATCAAACTCAAACTAGTCTGATTGGTACCTAGATATTGGAGCTTCAGCGCATATGACAGTAAACTCATTTGATTTAGACTCAATCGAGCCTTATTCTGGTAATCACACTGTTACTGTTGGCAATGGTAATGCTCTCCCTATTTTCCATATTGGATCTCATCGTTTGGCCAATAATTTAAACCTTCTTGATATTTTTGTTGTGCCTAGTCTACAAAAGAATCTCATTTCAATTAGCAAACTTACTCGTGACTTTCCTGTGGATGCTATATTTACTGACACATCTTTTTTGCTTCAGAAAAGGGGTACAAAGGAAATTCTAGCAAAAGGGAGGCGTGAACACAACTTATATGTGTTGGCGTATAGTCAACTGCTTTTGTTTCTCTTTTAAATTCCAATAAGCTACGAGGATCATTTGAATTGTGGCATTATTGTTTGGGTCATGTTAACTTTGATATTATTTCCCATTTAAGAAAAAGAGGTCTTTTGTCTTTATCTTCCATTTTACCAACGCCATCTATTTGTGGCTTCTGTGAATTAGCTAAAAGCAAAAGACTACCTTATTCCCCAAATGAGAAACGCGCATCGCATGTGCTGGATTTAGTCCATTGTGATTTATGGGGACTTGCTCCCATTTGTTCAAAATCTGGTTTTCGATATTATGTGATTTTTATTGATGACCATTCCAGATTCACCTGGTTATATCCAATGCGCCTAAAATCTGATTTTTATGATGTATTTGTTCAATTTAAGAAATTTGTTGAAAATCAGTTCAATACATCTATAAAAATATTCCAAAGTGATGGTGGTACCGAATTCACAAATAACAAAGTGCAAAAATTGTTACAAGAAAATGGAATTCTTCATACTATGTCATGCCCTTATACACCTGCCCAAAATGGTAGAGCTGAACGCAAGCATCGTCACATCACTGAAACAGGACTTGCAATGTTTTTTCATTCACATCTCCCTGCTAACTATTGGCTAAATGCTTTTTGTTGTGTTGTCTATGTCATAAATCGGTTACCCACCACTCTTCTAAATGGTGTTTCTCCATTTGAGACTTTATACAACACTCCTCCAAATTATGCAAACTTCCATCCCTTTGGCTGTCATGTTTATCCTTGTCCCCATGACTATGCCCCAAATAAATTGTCTCCTCGCAGTGCACCTTGTATTTTTCTTGGCTACAACAGCAACCATAAAGTATTTCAATGTTTGGATCCTTCAACCTCCCGATTATATATAACAAGACATGCCAAGTTTGATGAAATTTATTTTCCATGTTCAAACATAGGAACTATATCTCCAATTTATGGGTTGGGTTTTTCTTCATTTGCTGAACTAGCCACAACGACTGCAATTCTTGCTCTAGCTCATGCACCAGCTCCTTCTTTGACAGTATCCAAGGACTCTATGCAATCACCCCCTACCCTGTGGTCTATGTCCTGCTGAAGATACTCCTTCAACTGCTGTTGTTCCTATGCCTGAAACTCAGCCACGAATACAAAGTGGTGTCCAGCCAACTCATCATATGGTCACACGCGCCAAATCAGGTATTTTCAGGCCCCGTCAATTTGCTGCCATTACCACCTACCAACCATCTTCTCTTCTTTATGCTCTGCTCACCACTTCTACACCCAAAGGGTTTAAATTTGCTGCAAAACATCCTGGTTGGTTGGATGCTATGAATAAAGAGCTTATGGCCCTACACTTAAACAAAACTTGGGATCTTGTCCCACGACCATCCAACACTAACATTGTAGGGTCAAAATGGGTGTTCCGCACCAAATATCTTTCAAATGGATCAATTGACAGATTAAAAACACGACTGGTCGCACAGGGCTTCATTCAAACTCCTGGTCTTGACTATGATCACACCTTTAGTCCTGTTGTTAAAGCTGCCACCGTTCGTGTCATTCTCACTCTAGTGGTGATGAATAATTAGTCTCTTCATCAATTGAATGTCAACAATGCATTCATGAATGGGCAACTCACACATCCTGTCTACATGGAACAACCTCCTGGGTTCGTTGATCCTCGATACCCGACTCATGTTTGTCGACTTCAGAAAGCTCTTTATGGCCTCAAACAGGCCCCTCTTGCGTGGTTTCAACGATTTAGCTCGTTTTTGCTCAGTCTTGGGTTCCTCGGGAGCAAGGCAGATCCATCTTTATTTGTCTTCAACAATAATACAGCAACTCTACATATACTTGTTTATGTTGATGACATAATTTTGACAGGGAATAATAATTCATTAATTCAAAAAATGTTGGCAAGGTTCAAAAATGAGTTTGTTGTCAAGGATCTAGGTCGTCTAAATTACTTTCTTGGTCTCGAGGTGCACTACACTACAAATGGAGTCTTCCTAAGCCAGGCCAAATATGCTCAAGACATTTTATCCAGGGCCCAGATGATGGAAGCAAAACTGACAGCTACACCTCTACAATCTAATATTCAGCTGACAATCACAGGAGATCCTTTCTATAATCCCACTTAGTGTCGCTCTCTCATTGGTGCACTCCAGTATCTCACTATAACTCATCTTGCCTTGTCCTATGCAGTCAATTTGGTCAATCAGTTCCTCCAAGCTCCAACAAATGATCACTTTCAAGCAGTTAAACGCATCCTTCGATATGTCAAGGGAACCATGTCCTATGGTCTATCCTTCAACCGTGGAGCTTTCTTTAATCTTCTTGGATACTCGGATGCAGATTGGGCTCACTGTATTGAAACTAGACGATCAACCTATGGTTATTCTATCTTCTTAGGCAGAAATCTCGTCTCCTGGAGTGCTAAGAAACAGCCAACAGTAGCACGGTCAAGCTGTGAATCTGAATATAGAGCCATGGCAAATGCGGCAGCTAAATTGATATGGATTACTCATCTTCTAAATGATCTGCATATTTTCTATCAAGTGCCAACTCTTCTCTGTGACAACAAGAGTGCCATTTTCCTCTCACAAAATCCGGTGGCTCACAAATGAGCTAAACATATTGATATTGATTACCACTTTGTTCGAGAGCTTGTTCTATCTAAGAAACTCATCACTCAATTCATTCCTTCCGATCTCTAGCTAGCAGACATCTTCATGAAAAGTCTGCCTCGATCACTGTTCCAGTTCTTCAGAGACAAGCTTCACGTTGGACCAAATCCCACGCTTTGCTTGAGGGGGATGATAGGATATAATATATTTGATTGCAATTTACCTTATTTAGCTTGTGAATAATTGATTTAGTCTTGTAGAATTGATCTATTCTCTCCTTGATTGTAGGATCTAAATACTTTGTATAGCCTATATATTGTACGCTTGTTATTCTTTCCAAATCAATGAAACACATTTGCACCAATCCTTACAATTACCATTAGAAGAGACATTGTTAGGAGAAGAATATGAGGAGGTAGGGAGTGGAGTGGGAAAAGAGTGGGAGTGGGAGTGGGGGTGGGGGTGGGGGTGGGGGAAGAGAGCTAGAAGGGGGTGTGGGGAAGGGGAATAGGAAGGGGAAGGAAATGTTGCGGAAAGAATGGAAAAAATTTAGAGGACTTATATGTAATTATGTAAAATATGTTTACGGATTTATTTGTAAATATTAATTTTAAATAATAGAAATAAAAAAAAATTATGTGACATGCCATGCGACATCAGGTGTAAGTGCTAAGCTAGCTCTCTGTCAGTCAACTTTACACTTAACAGGAGGAAATTAACAGCAGTAACTAAATCTTAATTTTGTAAATTTTTAAGGACTAAATCCTAAAAAAAATTTTTAAGGACTTATCGCAAAATGTCTAATATTTATAAGGAACAAAAATATAATTAAGTCTTTTTTTTTATAGGCTTTGTTTTGGAGTTGGTTTTGGAGGGAATAAGAGGGAAGAAAACTTATGTGATGATTATCTTTATTTGAGAGTTTCTAAATGAGAGAAGTAGAGTTTATAAACTCTCAAAACTCTTTTTCATCTTATATTTTTAAGTTGCCTCAATTGGGGAGGTTTTGTATTAACTTTGTTTCCTCCTTCCTTTCTTTCTCCTCTATTGCCTTTCAAACTCTTTTGTTCTCTTTCTTTCTAAACTTTCAAATAAATCCATATAATACTCCATTAAGATCTTTCAAATGATATGTCGGCTAAGTTACAATTATGTTAGTTTAATTTATATATTAAGATGTAGTTTAATACAAAAAAAATGTTGCTATATGAAGTAAATAATACGAATTCTAAATAAGTGTTAGTAATATAAGTTTATTTTGTAAAATATAAATTACAACAATATGGCAAAAGCATTTTTGAATGTTTGTGAATGAGAGAATTATACCATACATACATAAAGTGGAATGAATATATTATACATTCTTATCTTGCTTCTAACAATGAGACAGTTACTTCATTGGTTGAAGATATTTGCTTCAAAGATGAAAATTCTCCTTCAGTTATATCATTTTCTATTAAGAAATTGGGCTCCTTTGGTTGAGGTAAAGCATTTTCACTACTCAACATCACAACTATAGATGTCATGTCCGGTCTATCATTAAGATTTTGTTGCACACATAAAAGACCAATATGAATGCAACGACAAACTTCATATGGAATACAAGAGTCATGCAAACAAGTATCCATCAATTTCAATGGAATTCCTTCTTTCCACAACTTCCATGCCTGCAACAATTTAAACCAAAGGTTATGGAACACTTAATTATAAAAAAAAAATGAGTTATATTCAATTTTGTTACTCACATTTCCAATAAGATTATAATTGTGACTTGGATGGGAAAATCCTTTGTTTTTCATTCCGCTAATAATCTCCAATAACAATATCCCAAAGCTAAAAACATCAGATTTGATGGAAAATAATCCATCAATAGCATATTCTGGTGCCATATAACCACTGGAAGGAACCAAAATAATTTAGTTTAGATTTGATAAACATGCAATAAAACTTAACATCATTAAAGATATACTTACTATGTACCAACTACTCTGCTTGTATTTCCTTCAATTTGATCTCCTCCACATATTCTAGCCAAGCCAAAATCTGAAATTTTTGGGTTCATCTCATTATCTAATAAAATGTTGCTTGCTTTAAGATCCCTATGTATGATCCTTAATCTGGAATCATGATGTAGATACAACAGTCCTCTTGCAATTCCACTAATAATGGAGAAACGTTTAGGCCAATCTAAACGTTTACTTTGGGTAGAATCTATCAAAATATCCAATAAATTTATTAGTATTTTCATTTGGAAAGAAACTATAAAACAAAATTTTATAAAATTTAGCTGTGATACTAACCAAAAATAAATGAATCTAGGCTTTTATTGGGCATGTATTCGTAGAGAAGCATTTTCTCTTCTCCTTCAATACAACAACCAATAACTTTAACAAGATTTCGATGTTGAAGTTTTGCACATAATATAACTTCATTCTTAAATTCTTGTAATCCTTGTCGAGAACTCTTAGAAAGTCTTTTCACGGCAATCTCTTGTCCATCTACTAATGTACCCTAAATTTTAGAGTCAGAGAAAATGTATAAGGAAGCAAATATATTTCCCCACAAGATTTATAATCTTTTCATTTGTAATTAAAACTGACATATATATTTCATATTACCTTGTATACTGGTCCAAAACCACCTTCTCCAAGCTTTTTGTCAATTGAGAAGTCGTTGGTAGCATTGATTACCGTAGCAAGATCAAAGAATGGAAGTTCGAAGTCTTCTTGTCCTTCATGTTTCTTTTCAGTTGACAAGTTTTTCTCTGTTTTCACTTAAGTTTATTGAATGGGATCAAAATCACTGATATATTTTCTTTCCAAAGCAATGATTTAAAAATTGCAATAACTTGTTGAATTAAAAACTAGGCTATGTTATATCTATGAAAATGCCTTGCAGAAGGAGTGATGTCCTGTTTTTACTGATAATAACCATAGGTATCATGTTAATGAAATTAGGAGTTTAAAAAATACCCAAAAAAAACATGAATGACAATTTTTAACAAAAAAATTTTCCCATTTAAATATTTAAGTAGTAGGCATGGGTTAGCATTTGCCAATTAAGAAAACAAACTTGGTAAGAAAATATACCTCTGTAAAAGTAGAAGAAAGCGGAAAGCAGGACGAGGACAAACACAAGTGTGATTGTTATTACTAAAGCAATATTTTTCGTGTGCCCATGTTTTGCATCATCATTTACAGCTTTAAAAACAAACGAAGCATTAGTCAGTCTCTGTTCCCAAATAAAAGTGATCACAATTGACATATAGTTAGAAGATTATAGAACCCATTAATTACCTATGTCTGAAGTTGCCACTCGAATATATAGATCTTGTCCACTTTCTATAATCCTCAAATTAAAAAGATTACCAAACCAAATGGCACATCCGCTACCTTCTCCCCTAATATCTGAGTTAGAATAAGCCGTGCAAGAGCAATTTTCTAAGCATTTAGCCTTACACTCATCAAGTGTCATAGTTTCATTAACCCAAGAATGTGTAGTATCCGGCAATTTCATGCTACCAAATCTACGAAACCCATCTTTGCCTTTGACTTTGCAACTCCATTGTTGACTCCTCACACAACCCTGTGTCCAATCCATTGCTTCCCAATTTTGAGAAGACTGGGGCTTGAACCCATCTAAACACTGGCATACGGGTGATTCACCCACAACACAATTTCCATTTGGGCCACAAAGATTATAAGTGTCACAATTGTCTCTTGGTATAGAATGGTAAGGCCTCCATGTTGAGTTGTCAGGAATCCACGTGAAGCGTTGGCGGAGAAAAAGGGTTTGGTTCATGACAATTATTGAGATCATAGACTTATTCTTGAGGGTGTATGTGAAGAAGACCTCATCTGAATTGTTCACAAATTGATAATTGTAAACTGGGTTTTCCCTCATTGTGGGTGATCCACTAAACCGAATACCATTCCAAGGTCCACTCCTATAGGACTCATCATAGCCCTTCCACATTGCCATTTCTGGGTTACCAGTGAGTACAATGCCCCATGAAAAATCTCCTGGAGATGGGTCATCCCAATTCTTCCATGAAGTTATGCGTCTATTAAGACCAGTTTTTAGGTCCCATCCTAGTTTCATTCCTGGCAACATTGTATTAGATGGATGATCAAAGCTTTGCCATAGGAAATTCTCTTCATTGTTGTTTTCGCTTCTAAGCACTAAATTGCCAGTGTCTAAGAGCTGAACAAAGGGAGTCAAAGTTAAAGACTTTGTTGTGGTGTTTGTCGACCAAAGAAGGGTTTGGTTGTGGCTGAGAAGTACGAGGTTTCCTTCTTGGCTTATGATCAACTTGCTGGAGTTGTCTTTGATTGGGTTGTCACTGTTGGCTACCCAAACGATTGTTCTAACTGGGATGTTTTTGTACCATATCCCAACATACCGGTTTGAGGAACTACCTGGATTGAAGAAACCCAACTCAAAGGTTCCATCGTTGGAAACCAAGGTGCTGCCATCAGCAAGTGGCTGAGTTTGGGAAATCGTATCAGTTGCAAAGGAAAAATGAGAGAAAAAGGATAATAATAGCTTAAAAATAACCAACATAAAAGGAATAGTGGCCATTTTACAACAATAGTTACAGGCCTTCACACAACACAATAGGAGTGGTGTTGAAATAACATGAATATTGAATATGTTACGGGCACTGTGTTGTTCCAGCGTTGACTTGGTCTCTTGTGTGAGAAGAACATGTGTAAGTCCTTCTTTTGACTAGGAAGCTTCCCTGCATCCATGACACGCACACTTGTAACTTGTTCGTGGTCACACATTATCCCAGCATTATTTTTTATGGTTAGTCTGTGTTGAAAATAGAGTATATTTATGAGTTTCGATCCTCGGATCATTTAAAATTAACACGTATGTGACTCATATATGCTATTGCTTTTATGTTTTATCTTTTTCTTGTTTTACAGATATTTCAGATATACATTTTTCTTATATATAAAATAAATCCTTTTGACAATTTTTCTAAGACGTCTTCAAGGATGTATAATAAAAATCTATTCATTGCACTCACAAAATATTACGTAATGTAGGGCATGAATAATACTGTTTTAATGTTTATATCTATTTTTCATTTCTTTTTGTTTTACAGATATTTAAATGTACATTTCTCTTATAAAAAATAATATTTTACGATTTTATACATTATAAATTTTTATTAAAATCACAAAATATGACATATATAGTGCATGAATAACATTAAATGTTACATTTTTAAATATAAAATATATTAATTTTGTATTTTGTATTATTAAGCAAAGATTAAAATTCATTCACTTTAAGCATCTCTTTTTTATGGTAAGTCTACGCTGAAATATAGCATTGACATTTACGCAAATTGTGACCAAAGCCGAATTCAAATTAAGAAGTTGATTTGTAACCGTCCATTAATTTTTTCTTTCTCTTTTTCTCATACTTTTTTTTCTACCAATCGATGACTGACTAAAGTTTTGTACGTGTAAGTATTATTTGTTTGAAAATATAACATTTTTTTATGGCTGAGGTTGAGTTAGACTTTTGTAATGATACTCATAAATTGAATATGAATTATTGACTATTGAAAATGTTGTATTAGATATTAACCCCTTTCGTCGTCATTTCTTCACAATTGACTTTCCTATCATGACAAAATAAATATGTAATTTTTCCACATAAGGGGATAGGCATTAGACAATTTACAACATTTGATGTGATTAAATGCTATTTTTTCCAGCTTAAAATTAATTTCAATCATTCTTTGTATCCATTTTTTCTTTTATAATAATTTGCATATTTTATGATATAAAATCCAATTATAGGAAATTAAGGATAGATACAGCTTTATCCAATTTGAATTAAGCATTATTAACCGTCAATTATATTAAATAATAAAAATTTTATATTAATTAATTAATAATAAATTAAAATATATTAAAGGAAAAGAGTTGTAATTTAAATTATAAATATATTTTAAATAAACAAGTTTTTTAAACTTAAAACTCTTCTTTTTCTTATTATTGGATCAAACATGATACCAAAATTCTAATATGATTTTAGCGATTAACACTAAGTCCAAAATATTAAAATAAAAATAAAATTGGTCAAGCCGATTGAGAACAAAAAGAGTTCAGAATAAAAAAACTTATAGTGTTAAAAAATTCCAAAAAAAAAAGCACAGACCCAACTAATAATAAAAATAACTTGAAATAGAGTACTAAACATGAAATACAAGTCAAATTAATGAATTAGTAATAAATTAAATGATATATAAGTAAAATAATCGTGAATATAAATTTTAGATAAAAAAAATTACTTCAATTTCCTTCTTACTCTTAGATTAGAATTATACTCAAACTTTTAGTAAAATACTTATTATTGTATTTATCTCGTGTTAATTTTGTTAATAGTGTAATTAAAAAAAATAAATTATCACCTATCCAATCATTGAAGTTGAGAAATGAACCAAAGGTTGAATTAAAATATAAACACAAAAGAATATAATTTTATTGAGGTTAGCAACTTGCACAAACTTAGTAGGTAGCTAATGGAACTACTTCACCAAAGAAAACAACTCAATAGAAACATCTGTTGCTGAGGAAATTTAATAGAAAAACAAAAGTAGTTTGGTAGTAACAAGCATCACATGAATTCTTAACATTTTATAAAATCTGTGTTCTACTCTACACGGCATAAACACTTCTTAGTTTCTTCTAAATAAAGATAGAAATAAAAGCTGTGATACTTTTAAGTAAAATTATGTTCAATGTAATTTTGATTTCTCAAATTTTTAAAATAATGATTTTTTTTTAAAAAAAAATTAATTCAATTTAGTTCTTATGTTGATTTATACATTTTTACTTAAAATTCTCAAATTCTTATTTTAATTCAAAATTCCTACAAATTGAATTAATTAAATTATTTCTACTTATAATTTTATCAAACGGCATATATTTAGGATAATTATTCCTGAAGCTAATTATAATAGATGATTTTATATCATATATGAAAAAATCTAATGTCAAATTTATCACTTCTTTTTAAATGGGATAAGAGAAAAGGTGAAGACTTTTTTGCCATATCATGCTATTTTGTCTTTTGTTAAAGGAATTTTCCATCATAAATATAGTGCAAGAACTTTCATGTTTTAGATTATTTGAGCTAAAATTTGTTATATAAAGTGTGATAATTAAATTTTACTTGATTTCTTAATTACATTTTCAGAGATAAGGAACAAGTAATTCACTTTAACATCATAGAAAGTTAAAGAATAATAGACAGATTTAGAAGTCCTAGATGCGTCTTTAATTAAAAAGTCTTTTAATTTTTAAAATTAAAATATTTTTAAATTTTAGTATAAAAAAGTTTAAAAAACATTTCTATGTAAACCTTATTAATTTTTTATTATTTCAAATAATCTTTTTGTGAGTGAGATGTGTTGGACATTAAACATAACTTTTGGACTTCAGACACAAACAACGATTCATAGTGTGCCAAGAATTTGACCAAAGCAATGGCCATTTTCACATTCTTTTTTGTTTTTTCTTTTTCCAAATTACCAGTATGGTTCACTCCATTTTTATGTACTACAGATATCATTAGCATGTTGCAAATCACTTCCTGAGGGTAATATCTTGGTTTCAAAAGATGAAACCTTTGAAATGGGTTTGGAATCTGCTATAAAAGTATCCAAGGTAGGGACCATTGTTTGGATTGCTAACCGTGAAAATTATGTTAAAGACAACTCCAGCATGAACACAAGGAAAACTTGTGATCCTCATCAACAAAAATCCCATTGTTTGGTCAGCAAATTCATAAGAAATAGCCATGTACCCAAGTTCAATTGTTTAGCTTTTTGACTCGAGAAACTTGGCACTTGTTTGGGAAGGGGTATTTTGGAGGGGGAGGAGAGGGTAAAATATATTTAAATAAATATATTTAAAATTAATATTTTTTAAAAATAAAAAATATAAATTAATATATTAACAAAAATTTAATGTATTAATAATATATTTATTATCATAAATAATATATAATTCTTTTAATTTAAAATTAAAAAATATGTCTTCTCTTCCCTTCCAAAAATTTCTTCCTAAACACACTCTAAAAGATGAGAATGACTTAAACCCACAAAATTCCTTGTGCAAAGTTTTGAGTCACCTTGTGTGATGTCCATATAAAATGATACTTTAGGATTTTAAAAACTAAACATTAATATTTTATTATGCATTTTCACTGTTTATCACTATAAATAAAGTTACTTACAGATTGGAGTGGAAATTGGAGGTATAGACATATAGGTATTAAGTTGTAAAAATTATTTATAATTAATTGTAAAAAAATTCTTGGAAAGGAAATTATCTTTCTTCGTATTTGAATTTGTGATTTAATAATTGTTACACATGATTCAAGAACAGATAATAAATAAAAAGGAAAAGTTAAAAGAATAGAAGCAAGACTGTAAATAGAGTTGCATTAAAAGAAAAGTGAGTACATACACTTAATTATATTTTTAATATATATCTTTGTGTAACTAAACTAATTTACACTTTTTTAAAATTTCTATAGATATTGATAAAAGTTAAATACACTCTAAATAAGTATAATTTAAAATAATATTATTGGCGAACCGCATACAGGCAGCCAAATTCACTTACACGCAAGTTTAAGCAGCCTCGTATGAACATCTTGCCAAAGGTGTTTGACACTAATGTCACTTTCCCAAAAATTCAAACTAGACACTTAATCATGTCCCCCCTATAGAGAGGTTTCCACCAATGCTCTGCTATCCTCCAAAAGTAGATTGGACTTTGGACACAAATAATGTTAATTCAGTGTGCGCCAAGAAATTGACCAAAGCAATGGCCATTTTCACTTTCCTATCTGTTTTTGCCAAACTTCTAATATGGTTCCCTCCATTTTTATGTGCTAATGATACCATTAGCATCTCGCAATCACTTCCTGAGGGTAGCACCTTGGTGTCAAAAGATGGAACCTTCGAAATGGGTTTCTTCAGTCCAAGCAATAATAACAACACAAATCGCTATGTCGGAATCTGGTACAAAAATATCAAAATTAGAACCATTGTTTGGGTTGCTAATCGTGAAAATCCAGTTAAAGATAACTCCAGCAAGTTGAGCATGAGTACACAAGGAAAACTTGTGATCCTTAGCAAGAACAATACTGTTGTTTGGTCAGCAAACTCAACAGAAACAACACATGCACTTAGTCCAATTGTTCAGCTTTTAGACTCTGGAAACCTAGTACTAAGAAATGAGAATGACTCAAACCCACAAAACTACTTGTGGCAAAGCTTTGACTACCCCTGTGATACATTTTTACCAGGAATGAAGATTGGATGGAACCTAAAGACGGGTCTTAATCGGCGTTTTACGGCGTGGAAGAATTGGGATGATCCTTCACCAGGGGACTTCATTTGGGGTATGGTACTTGGTAACACTTCTGAATTGGTTATGTGGAAAGGTTCTAGTGAGTACTATAGGAGTGGTCCTTGGAATGGTGTTAGATTCTATGGCAAAACAACACCCCTTTTCAACTTAGAGTTGGTGTCTACTATTGATGAGGTGTTTTACACTTACAACATAGAGAATAAGTCCTTGATCACAAGAGTTGTTATTAATCAATCTATTTATTATCGCCAGCGCTATAATTGGAATGAAGCAAACCAAACTTGGAAGCTTTATTCATCAGTGCCAAGAGACAATTGTGACAATTATAATCTTTGTGGTTCATATGGAAATTGTATTGTGAGTGAGTCACCACCCTGCCAGTGTTTAACGGGCTTCAAGCCAAAATCAGTTCAAAATTATGAGGCTTTGGATTGGAGCCAAGGATGTGTGCTTAGTGAACAATGGAGCTGTGGGGTCAAAAACAAAGATGGTTTTAGAAAATTTAGTGGGCTGAAATTGCCAGATACTACCAAGTCTTGGGTGGATGGAAACTTAACACTTGAAGGTTGTAGAACTAAATGCTTGGAAAACTGTTCTTGCACAGCCTATGCAAATTTAGATGTCAGGGGTGATGGCAATGGTTGTATCATTTGGTTTGGAGCACTAGTTGACTTAAGGGTGGCTTCTGTTCCTGGGCAAGATCTATATGTTCGAATGGCTACTTCAGAAACTGGTATGATCTTTACTTTTTCTTTTATTTTTGTTGATTTTCCTTTTTCGGTGAGTTTATGTGTTCAGATTTTGAGACTTCTGAGTACTGACTATTCGTTCATTTCTATGTCAAACTATCTGTGAAGATGAAAAGCGAGGGCATAAGAAGATGGTAGCGGTGGTTATTCCAGTTGTGCTCTTGGCTTTTTTGATTGTTTTCATTTTTACCTATAGCTTCTGGCGGAAAAGAAAACTTAGAGGTACTAAACTTTCTTATATTGAACTTCTAACTTTGTTACTACAAGTTCTTTAACTAGCTATGTTGCTGCTTACACTTAAATGACACCTTTGATGTTTATTATCCATTGCAACTTCTAAGTAATGTATTATTATGTACATAAGTATGCGATCATGGTTAATTTTGGATGATTGGAACAATCATATACATGCTGAACTTGCATGATATTACCTTCATTTATAAAAGCATTTCCGTTTTCTTGTTTTATGATGTTAAACTGATTGATTTACTTGAGAAAACAGAAAATGCCTCAGAAGAAAATAAAGATGAAGAGCATGAAGAAGACTTAGACTTGCCTTTCTTTGAATTTGCTACCATAGTTCGTGCCACTAATAACTTCTCAAGTGACAAGAGGCTTGGCCAAGGTGGTTTTGGGCCTGTGTATAGGGTAAGCAACCAAATATGCTACTTATAATAACAAGATACAAAGCTAGTCATTCATTTACTTCTTTGTTTCAATTATTCGACATTGATTTATTTTTTTAGGGCACACTAGCAGATGGACAGGAAATTGCTGCCAAGAGACTTTCAAATAATACTGGACAGGGAACAAAAGAGTTCAAGAATGAAGTTATATTGTGTGCCAAACTTCAGCATCGGAATCTTGTTAAAGTTCTCGGTTGTTCCACTCAAGGAGATGAAAAAGTTCTCATCTATGAATACATGCCAAATAAAAGCCTAGATTCCTTTCTTTTCGGTATGTGCCTCAGCAAATGAAAGTTTTCTTTAGATTGCAGAACTTCATTTGTTTCTTGTCTGAACTAAGCAAGGAAACTTGACAGATTCCTCCCAAAGTGAACTCCTAAATTGGTCTAAGCGCTTCAACATTATATTTGGAATTGCTCGGGGACTTCTTTATCTTCATCAAGATTCTAGATTAAGAATCATTCATAGAGATTTAAAAGCAAGTAATATTCTACTAGATGGTGAGCTAAATCCAAAAATTTCTGATTTTGGCGTGGCACGAATGTTTAGTGGAAATCAAACCGAAGGGAACACAAAAATGGTGACTGGAACATAGTAAGTATCTATTTGCTAAATTTCTATAAGTTGTAATTACATTTTCTGCAAATTTGTAAATACAAAACTAACTCATTTTTGCAATTACATCAAGTGGCTACATGGCACCAGAATATGCAATTGATGGGCTACTTTCTATCAAATCTGACGTATATAGCTTTGGTGTACTATTACTGGAGATAATAAGTGGGAAGAAGAACAGAGGAATTTTCTTTCCAAATCATGGATTAAATCTATTAGGACATGTAAGGAAATGAACATAACTTTGTTTTACTTATTATAAATTTCAGGATCATAGATGTTTTTTCAATGTTGTAGGCATGGAAATTGTGGAAAGAAGACACTCCAGTGAAATTAGTTGATGCTTCTTTGGGTGATACCATCACCATGTCAGAAGTACTACGCTGCATTCATGTTGGTCTTTTATGCGTGCAATTGCATCCTGAAGACAGGCCAAACATGGCATCAGTGATAGTGATGTTGAGCAGTGAAAATACTTTGCCACAGCCTAAGGAACCCGGTTTCCTTATTGAAAGAATGTCGATTGCCGGAGAATCTTCGAGTAGCAATCAGATTAATTCTTCTACTAATGAATTAACTGTGACACTCTTAGAGGCTAGATAGAGTTGCTTTTGCAACTTTTATGTTTGTGACATGCAAGTGCAGTATTCTATTTACTCAATGGCCTTCACAGGTTAAAGTTCTGTCTATATCCCACTATGTTGCTGGATTCACTTACTGTATTTAGTTGAAGGTAGGAAACTGTATCTAAATTAAGTAGAACATGTTGTATACGATATCTTGTGCTAGATGCATATTTATATAGTAAACTAAAGAAAAAAGAGGATCAATTTTAATGAGAAGAGTGTCTCAAAGTTGTCAGAATAAGGGGATTTAGTCTCAAAATTGTTGATGCTGGAGTGAAGGACTGGCAATGGGTTTCAAATGTTATTCAAGGCTTTGAAATCGATGCATCTCAGCACCCCTTAGAGAAAGCTTCAGAAGTTCAGAACACTCCATATGGATGATGTAGAAAATAACTTACAATCAAACAGGGTGCTTCATAGTTAGTTTCCCTTGCAACATTGGTTGTTCCACAGTTTAAGTCCAAACTATAGCTTCTAACACTATGCAGTGTAAAAGCATAATTACTCTATCAATGCATAGGTTATATAATTTACTAAATATTAAATTTTTATAAATATCATTTATTGTGACATTCTTTTTCTATAATTTTCTTAATAAAAAAAAAACAATTTTGTCATCCTTCGCATGGCAAAATTAAGATGATTACTAATAATTGATTTATTATGTATGAAACATCTTTATTATTATTATTATTATTATTCTATAACAGTTAAATTAAGATGATTTAATAGCATGATATTCTTTGCGAACTTGACTTTTCTGCTGACTAGTTGGGCAAATATAGCAAGTTACATAATTTAACTTCCACTTGGTGCCGCCTCTTCTTTCTCTATTTTTGACTATAGAGTGTGAATATGGCAACAGAAATGTAGTTTGATTAAGCAGCTACTTTGGTCCCATAGGATAAGACATATACGACATTATATTGGTCTTTCATCAATAATTAATAAATGATGCCACGGTTTTTTACTTGAAAGACCAAGCAACCTGCTTTGGTGTGTATTTGTCCGCAACAAAAATCGAATTTACTTTTTAGAAAATTAGTATCACTTTTAACATAAAAACACATGGTCAAAACTACCCTTGACAAGTAATATATATATATATATATATATATATATATATATATATATATATATATATATATATTACATTTTTGGGTATTTCAATTTTAAAAAGTTGTTGTACCTGTAAAATTGAAAAAATATTTTATACCCTTTTTAGATTAACGGTTATGATTCTTTTAATATTTTAAAGATAAAAATGTATTAATGTTTTTTTTAATTAAATTACTACCTTCATTATTTATCTATATGAAATTAATAGACCAAATTGTTACTCAGAGTACTTTAAATTTTACCTTTAAAAAATTACTCTTATTTTTGGTAAAAAAACATAAGACAAATTTTTAAAATAATGCGGATTCTTGGATTATCCTTCTCATTAGTAAACCTATGGATCCAACTGTACTAGTTCCAGCCTACACAAGCTGAATGCCCCCAATAGTCCCAAAGAATACATCCCATTAAACTAGTTAGAGTGTTAGACAATGACTCGTTTTAAGAAAGTCTCTCTATAACTATATATAAAAGAAGAAAATCAAGGGGATAATGAATCAAAGTTTTTACTAATTAAAATTAACTGACCCCAAAACATTGAATAAAACTATGCAAAAATTTAGAGATAAGTTTAAGTTTCCATTTTCAATCAAACTAGCCACCCATGTTGACTGTTGTTATTAGTCTCCAGACGATAATTCCTATTTTCCTGGATTTTTTAAATATGGTTTACTCCCACATATTACTTTATTCCTGGCTTTTATGTACCGACCTTGCATTTTGGCCACTAGCAACAAACTATAAACTTGTTACAATGAAGAAAATTTTGAACTATTTATTTACCTTAAATTCTAGTCATTCATTAACTTTTTTTTCCTTATACTTCATTCTTTCAAACATTAAAACATAATAAATAAATTGAATTCAGAAAAAATATTACTAAAGAAAAAAAATAATAAACGCAAAAAGAGTATAATATATATATATATATATATAATTATTTAAAAATTAATGTTTATAAAAAAATAATGTAGAAATAAATTGAAACAAAGTTTAGATTTAACGTGCCTATTTATAAAACTCATAAAATTTAAGGATTAATGGTCAATTAAAGTTTAAGATGCTTAATTAAAACAACACTACAACACTAATAAAACTAAATTAAAGTTTAAAATGTATGTTGATCAGTAGCTATAAATGAAAAGTGACTTGAACACTTAATATTGGTAATTCTTGAATGTTGATAATAGTCTCTTAAGGTGCTCCAACCAGTTCAATGGGAAGTATTTTTTGCAAGAAATACCCTAATCTTCAAGAAAAAAAATTTGATCAAAATAAAAATTTAATGAATAAAGATAATATACCAAAGCCAAAAAATTATTTCTTGGCTTTAATATGTTTTAATTACTTTTAAATAGACTTTATTTCAAATTACTACCTATTAATTTTATTTTATTTTAATGTCCAACTAATTTTTTTTTAATTTTGTACTTATATTAACCTTTGTCAGTTAAATGATGATATGACTCAGTTTGTCATATCACCCTTAATCTTTCTCTTCCACTTCACACTTAAATTTTCACATCATGAATTCATATTAGTATTTTATTTTTTCAAAAAATATAAAAATTAAGATTCAAGCTCGCAATGTTTCAACTTTGGAAATGGTGAAGGAAGGAACGCTGAAGTTATAAATGGGCAATTCCTCAATCTTCCTTTTCAAGTAAAAAATTTTTAAATAAAAAGAAAAAATCGATGAACCCCTTATCTGAAATTCAACTTTGTTTCTCATCTTCATCTTCATTCTTCATTATTTTTTGTTTTGGAAACAAACATTCACGTTATTGTTTGTTCCTTGTTTCTCAAGCACTGTTGTTGGTTATTAGTTGTTTGTGAAGGAGAAGTGTTATCAGAGACGACATTTTGTTGCTATAAATAGGCGTGGCATTTGCTGTTCAGGAAAGCACCCAATGTTGAGCGAGGAGTAATACGAAGCATTGTTTCGTACATTATTAAAGGCAAGTGTTATTCAATTTGATTATTGAGGGTTAGAGTTTACTTTCGTTAATTTTGCTTTACTTGACACGAATATTTGTTCCTTTTTGTATATAGATGACTTTATATGCTATTATTCATCACGGGGGTTATTTTGAGTTGGACTTCGTGATGCACTATGTTAAGGGTAAAGAAGCAATTCCTATGAAAAACATTGATATAGACAGGTGATTATACTTTAAAACACTTGGGATTGTAAAAGAAGACTTAAGTTATGGAGAACACCCTATCAAGATATGGTAGAAATTTGGTCTTTATGACTGCAAGGAAATCAACTGTGACAGTGTTGGCCTGAACATGGCTAACTTTGCTATGTCTAATAGTTTAGAGGTTGAAATGTATGTTGTTTGTGAAGGAGGCAACAAGGATGTTGTTGGGAACAATTTTTCTAGTAGTGAGGAGAAATCTCTAAAGAAAGTTTATTTAGATGATAATGAGGAGGATAAGGCTAGGGACATGGAGGAACATGTTGCTCACAGTGTTCATGAGTCAGAGAAAGTACTTGTTCGTGTAGAGATTGTTTGGATTTTTGGGGAAGAAGAATATGTTGAAATGTCCACCTATGAACGTGACTTACCAAGTGTGCTTTAAAGTGATGCTCACACTAGAAGAAAGGTTGTTGTTGATGTTGCTATTGCTGGTGGGACTAGAGTTGAGAGTGGGAATGCTGGTGTTGGGGGGAGAATGTTGTTGTTATGGGTGGGAATGCTACTGCTGTTGAGAAACCTATAGGTGAGGGAAAAAAAAAGAAAAAGAAAAATAAGGGTGTTAGGAATAGGCAAATAAAAAGAATGAATGTTGGTGTTTTTGGTCAGACTAGTCATGGTTTTGCCAATGCAGATGATTTTTATAAGGCACAAAGAGTAGAAGCAGATGATACTGATCACGGGTATGTAAGTGAAGATCTAATCAGTGGTGACTCTAAAGAAGATATTCTGAGAAGAAAATATTTCAGATTTAATCGTGATGATTTGAATAATGATTTCAAATGAAAGTTGGGTTTGGAGTTGGATTCCATTAAGGAGTTTAAGGACACAATTCAAGAGTATAATGCGCTAAATGGAACAAAAATCATATTTGATTTGAATAACAAATGGAGGGCAAGGGCTAGATGTAGGTATTGTGTTGAATATTGTGTGTATGTTAGTAAGGTCAACAATTCAGAGACTTAAAGGCTGAATACTCTGACTAATAAATAAATAATGTGCTTTGACTAGAAATCTTTTATGGACCACAAGGTGTACCTTTTGATGACAATCAAATATAAATAATGTGAAGCATGTATGTGAACCTCTTGGGACCACTGTTTTGTATGTTTGAGTCTTATTTTTACATATTTCTAATTTATTACTTATAACAAAAATGGGTAGTGAATTAATAAATTTGTATAATACAGGTAGTAAATTTTATTTTAGAGATACTAAAAGAATATAAAATATTAAGCAGTAATTTACATTCAGTTATATATTGAAGGTAGTAATATGAAAACATTTATTTATGGAGGTAGTAAACATTAAACGATTTAAAAATACAGGTTATATTCTTAAATACTAAAATTATGAAGGTAGTTAATAATTAATTAGACATGTACATTCAGTTATCAATTGTTATGTCAAATCAAAATCAGTTTTTACAGTGAATACAACCAAATTCAATAGAGTAAATAAGAGTCAATAGAGTGAATAAAGTCATGAGCATCAATTCTTATGTCATTAAATTCATTCAACCACATTCAAAACAACTTTCATTACATTGAATTATAAACTGTCAACCTTTAAAACTTTTCCACCAACAACATTCATTACTACTACAATACTCATAAGGTAATGAAAAACCAAAGCACAATAACTAAACATCCTAAAATCTTCACCATGTTCCTCTCAACAGCAATCTTCTTCTTACGAGATATTTTAAGCTTCAATAATACAAGTTGTTGATGGAGATCATGACATTCTTCCTGAAGTCTCACCATCTCTTCTTTGCTTTTTGTCATTTTCTCCTAAGTTGTTTTTTCAACCTCCATTAAATCATTTATCTTTGTATTCAACCCTTGAATTGTGTGGATTTGTCTCGAGATAACAAACTCATTGTCCCCATTTATAGGCTCTTTAACCCAACGAAAATAATTGAAAGAATTAGATTTCTGCAAACCAAATACAAATAAATTTGTAAACATAGAAACAAAAATTCATTCCCAAATACAACCAATTGAATTTACATTCGAACTAAAGCATCTCCAAAACTTTCTTTCAGGATTTTCCTTGCTCTGTGAGGTGAAAATTATAGTAAACTTCTTACATTTGCAAGTTACAACAGCTCATGTAGAAGATGAGCACGAGAAATCACCCACACTACTCATTTCGTGAAGACAAAGAACAAAAATAGAGACTAAGATCGATAACGACAACCAACGAAAAAGGAACCCTAACCTTCTTCTTTTTATGATTCTTCTTCTTCTTCCTTTCGTGTTTGTTTTCAGCGTGTTTTTCTCCTTAGTGTTCTTCTTCTTCTTGGAATAGGGTTCTTGACTTGGCCCTATTTCCCTCATTCCCTAAAACGTAACATATAAGTTATGTTTCATTTTTTCATGTGAATCCGTGACGTAAAAATTTAAAGATGAGGTGGAGGAAAGAGATTTGGAGTGATGTGGCAAATTGTAAGTCACATCACTATTTAACTGAGGTTCACATCAAGTACAAAATTTTAAAAAAATTAGTTAAACATTAAAATAAAAAAATTAATAAATAATAATTTAAAATAATCTTTATTTAGAGGTAGTTAAAACATATTTAAGCTTTTTTATATATATAAAAGTTGACAGTGTCACTGGTGAATTAGTCATCTTCTATACTTTGGCGTTGTAATTATTAGGAACAAAATGCATTTAGTGCCTGTGTAATGTGTTAGAAGTGTCAAATAATAGTTATACATATGTGACATTTGGGCCACTTCAGCTACAGTCAAATTCGAGATAAATCTATAAAAAAAAAAAAACACTTGCTCATAATGAACAAAGATTTAGTAATTTTTGTGACGATGAAGTTTGATGTATAACAAATGTTGGTAAGTTGAAAATAATTTTATTTTTGTAATAAATTTTAGTAGAGTAATAACAATTTTTCTAATTTTACCAGAGTCAAATATTTGACATCATATCTTTTATTTATAAAAAAGAATATATAAATTAGAAGAAATAAATACTCTTTTTCTTAAAGATGGACACTAATAATATTTGGCGATAGAATTGAATGAGATTTTGTAATTCTTAAATAATTTGATATGCATGTAAAATAAACCAGAATGTTACATCATTGTTGTCAAAGTAGGCACCCATTTTTAAATATCACAGTTCTATAAAATAAACACTTACGGACACAATTGTCCATATCACCAGGGTATTGATTTCCCTTGCAAATCGAAACTTTCAATTCTCCAATTGGGAAGGAGTTTAATGTTTTTTAATGATATTTGATTTTAAATTTAATGAATTAACAAAAACTATTAAGAGAATGTTGCCATTTTAAACGAATCTATTTAACTTGATTTATATTAACCAAGTTTACAATAATTTTCACTTATGAAAATCTCAAATCAAACAAATCACAAGCAACCTATATATTCTTTTTTTTTAAAATGCATTATTAAAAGTTATAAGACCATGTAATGAATTTTCATTTTCTAGAACAGCTAGTATAAAGGAATAAATAATTCATCCTCTTCCCATTCTTTTTACTTGTAATTCTACATAAGATATTGACTTTTGAATATAGAAATATCATTTTCAACGCAAACTTGGTCAAGTCATCTATATGTTCGTCATCATTGCCTCCACTTTCTCTCTTCGCAAATTTATTTTTCCTAGCATAATCAATTAAATGTCAACAGGGCAACAGAAAATTCCCCCCCCCCCCCACTATTGATATTATGCATGTATCTCAATGTTCAACATGCCCCCAAAATAATCATACAGTGACTAGGCTCCAAAGTCTTAGCACAATATAGTTATGAAGATTCAATGTAAAACTTTAACATACTATTCACGCTCCAGAGTGTGAAAACTATAAGATTAATATTTTTTAATATTATAATGTCCAAATTATGATAACCTCTTCATCATAAAAATATGTGGAGAGGCAAAACTCAATTCTAAAAATTAATTCTTGAAGATTATTTTAACTTTTATAAACTTTTATTTAATGTGTAATTGACGTGAGACTTCAACAAATATCAATTAGATTGATAGTATCAATACTGATGTGTGCAGATTTATTCATATTTGTCCCTTGATTTTCAACTTTAATACGTATGAAACCAAACTCAAAACATATTAAATTTTGTCACACCCTGATTCGGTCATCCTTTGCAGCCATTTCCAATTATTATAATATTCCAAGTGTACATTTACACCTTCATTGCTTGCACTAATTACCTCTGTGTATAGATATAGCCGAACAAAACAATCCTGCAAATGAAAATTTCAATGGATATTCTTTCTTTATTGATCACTGTTCCATGTATACTTATCCTCTTTCTCAGAGTTTCCACAGCAGTTGATACCATTCATATGTCTCAGTCCATTAGTGATGGCATGACCCTAGTTTCCCGAGGTGAAACATTTGAACTTGGTTTCTTCAGTCCCGAGAACTCCAACAAACGTTACCTTGGAATTTGGTACAAGAACATTCCACTTACGACAGTTGTTTGGGTTGCAAATGGTGCCATCAATGATTCCTCAGGCACCTTAACACTGAACAGCACAGGCAACCTTATTCTCAGACAACATGACAAGGTTGTTTGGTTGACAACATCTGAGAAACAAACACAAAATCCAGTGGCACAGCTTCTAGATTCAGGGAACCTTGTGGTTAGAGATGAGAATGATGCAAACCCAGATGCTTATTTGTGGCAAAGTTTTGATTACCCTTCAGATACAACACTGCCAGGGATGAAGTTGGGATGGAACCTCAAGACTGGTCAAGAATGGAGAATGACATCTTGGAAGAGTCCTAATGATCCCTCCCCTGGAGACTTCTATTGGGGCCTTTTGCTTCATAATTATCCTGAGTTTTATCTAATGAAGGGAACACAAAAGTTTGTGAGAATTGGACCCTGGAGTGGCCTATATTTCAGTGGTATACCAGATCAAAAGCCTAACCCCATTTATGATTTCAACTACATATCCAATAAGGATGAGATTTACTACAATTATAGTCTTGTGAATGAAGCTGTGATCTCAAGATTGGTCATGAATCAAACCACTTCGACTTGTACGCGATACGTATGGATGGAGGATGATCAAATCTGGAAGGTATATAAATCACTGCCAAAAGACAATTGTGACTTTTATGGCACCTGTGGAGCCTATGGGGCTTGCACGATTGCAGGCTCCCAAATATGCGAATGTTTAGAAGGGTTTAGTCCTAAGTCACCACAAGCATGGAACTCATCTGATTGGACTGAAGGATGTGTCCGCAATAAACCACTAAACTGCACTAACAAACTCAAGGATGGATTTATGAAAGTGGAAGGAGTAAAAGTGCCAGATACTACACATACTTTAGTAGATGAGACAATTGGCCTAGAAGACTGCAGAGTCAAGTGCTTGAATAATTGTTCTTGTATGGCTTATACTAACTTTGACATAAGAGGAAAAGGTAGTGGCTGTGTCATGTGGTTTGGCAATCTAATTGATATTAGGCAGTTTGATAATCAGGGGCAGGATCTGTATATTCGAATGGATGCTTCAGAATTGGGTATAGACAAGAACTTTAGTATCTCAACCAACTTTTTCATTACACATGCATATTTGCTTGCACACATTATACATACATGCATATGTATTTATGTCTCTGTCTTCATGACAAATGTATCCTTATTTTTATGTGTTTGTTTATTTGGTTTTATCAAATTCAATCATGAAGGAGAACAAGATGGGCGTAGGAAGTATGTGATGATAATAGTTGGTACCACCATTGCTGCAATATCAGTGATGATTTTTATTGGATGTTGTCGTATCTACATTGTCCGGCCCAGTATAATTAGTAAGAATACATTCATCCACATTTTCTCTATGGATTGTTTTTTCTGTTTCTTTATCGAATTAAGATGATTGTTAAGAAACTCACGTGGTAAGTACAGCTTCCTATAAATGTATAACCTTGTAATTTATTTAATCAAGTATTCACCTCCAAATACAAAAGATTAAGTAATTAATTTTGGATAAGAAAGTGTTGAGTTGGCTTACACAGTCTAGTTATTTAACCAAACTAAATTTATTCATTCAAGTTAGAATAACCCATTTTCATGATCTCTTAGACTCTTAGCTTAGGCTCTTTGGTTTCATTGGATAATCACTGTAAATTCTTTTTCTTTGCAATAATTTACCTGTCATGGCGAAAGTAAAAGAAATGAACAATGTGTGAAAATTTGTACATTTTTTGTGGTTTAAATTAAACTGTAAAAGGGAATTTTGACCATTTACCTATTCAACCTCTTGATGATAAATGCAAAGATGTAATGCAGCAAAAAGTGCGAAGTTATTGACATATTATGCCTTTAAACTAAGATGAAGCCACTGTTGCTTGTTACCAGTGAATTCGCAAATTCTATTAGGTGATCAAAATAGAGGAGGTAACGAGGATGATCTCGACCTGCCACTGCTTGACCATTCAACAGTAGTCACTGCCACAGATAACTTCTCAATAAAGAACAAGATTGGAGAAGGTGGTTTTGGACCTGTATACCAGGTAATTCATTCTATGTGAAGTTTCTAAGAAAAAGACGTTTAGTCAATGTGATTGAGTTTCTTAATTTATTTATATATTTATGTTATTGTGTAGGGAAGATTGGTAAGTGGACAAGAAATTGCTGTGAAGAGGCTTTCAAGAAGTTCAGGACAAGGAATGACAGAGTTTAAGAATGAAGTAAAACTGATAGCAAAACTTCAACACCGAAATCTTGTCAAGCTTCTTGGTTGTTGCCTTCAGGAACAAGATAGAATGCTGGTTTATGAATACATGACTAACCGTAGTTTGGATCGGTGGATTTTTGGTATGAATATGAGAAGAATGCTTATATTTTGATTGGACTACTTTAATGATTTCAGTATTACTTTAAAGGTCATATATATGTATGAAACATGAAATTTTAAATTTAGAATTCAAATGGGGTGAATAAATTTATTTTGCATGAAACAGATGATACAAAAAGCAAATTGTTAGATTGGCCTAAGCGCTTCAACATTATCTGTGGAATTGCTAGAGGTCTTCTCTATCTTCATCAAGATTCTAGATTGAGGATAATTCATAGAGACCTTAAAGCAAGCAACGTTTTGCTTGATGACCAGATGAACCCAAAAATATCTGATTTTGGCATTGCCAGAATTTTTGGAGGAGATCAGACAGAAGGAAATACTACAAGAGTAGTTGGAACTTAGTGAGTATCTCAGTACCTAAGAGTGATTATTGTGTGACATTATTCTAACAAATGTCTTTTGTTTTGATGGTATGTTGCAGTGGTTACATGGCACCAGAATATGCTGCTGATGGACTATTTTCTATAAAATCTGATATTTTTAGCTTTGGTATTCTACTGCTGGAGATAATAAGTGGAAAGAGAAGTAGAGGTTTCTATCTTGACAGCCACTCTCCTAACCTTGTCACTCATGTATGTCTCATAAATTTCCAATCAGCTTGAACATGTTTTTAGTGTTATAGTATGACTTTTTTCATCTTTACACATAACAAAAGCAGTATATTTTTTTCCCGCGCAAGGACTAAAAGCACGATTTTTTTTTTTTAATTTTAAAGATTAAAATAAAATAAAATATAAACAGAGACTAACATAAAAAAAATCATATTTTCAAGAACTAAAACACGTATTTAAACTTTTCAATTTAGGCATGTGATGGAAACTTGTGACAAACTACTTTGTTATTCCATGGTTTAGGCATGGAGTCTGTGGAAAGAGGGAAGGCCATTAGAAATGTTTGACTCAGACATAGAAGATTCTTGTGTTCTATCAGAGGTATTGCGATGCATCCATGTAAGTCTTTTATGTGTCCAACAACATCCAGAGGATAGGCCTGTCATGCCTTCTGTGGTTCTAATGTTAGGGAGTGATAGTGAATTAGCTGAGCCAAAACAACCTGGTTTCTATGTAAAGAATGATTCAACTGCAACAACTTCTTTCACTGGTCGAAGTGATGTGATCTCAACCAATGAAATGACTATCACCTTGTTAGAAGCCAGATGAAAATTCGTGAAATTCTAACCAAATTACTATCTTGGTCATGCTCATGTACATATCTGAGAAACTTTCAATTATACACAAACTCATATGTAACAAATGAGTAGTTTTCTTTTGTTGTTCAGGCACAGATACTGTATAAAAAGAGAATACAGAGATGATTGTGCTGTAGGAACTCAGTGACCAAAGTGATAAATAGAGGGCACAGCAATGCCATATTCTTATTATTTTATCGATTTTTTTTAAATTGTTCAACAATTTACATGTTTTATTAAAAATTACTATATTCAATAATATCAAAAAAAACTAAACTATATTAAATTATATATAAATTCTTATTATGTGTAATGTTTTATATTTTAGAAAAATATTATTTCATTGGTTACATTTTGTTATTGACTTTCTTGTCCTTTATTGTTTATTCTCACTCTCTTGATGTCGTCACCCAAGATATTTCTATGTTTCACTAAAGTTTGAATTTTAATTTGTTGAAAAGGAAGGAAAATGATGATTACTGTATTAAGAAATTTCAATTTCCGAATAACCTAGCCACCAAAATTGACTATTGTTATTGTTATTGTCCATCAACACAGCTTTCTTTCTTAGTGAGCTGCATAACTGTAGAGTCCTGCATTCATACTTAGATGACTTAAATTTTTTAACTTTATGTTTATTTAATATTTTAATGTATGAAAGAATGAAATTAATTGTGGAGATTCTTTTGCATTGGAATCCAATTCCGGAAACTAGAAACCAACAACAAATCTTGTAAGTTTCTGCAGCATGGTTTAAGATTGACTGTGGATTAATTTTGAAAAGAAAATGTTAAAAATCAAATATGCCTATATTGATTTTTAGGAAAAATATTATGAAAAAATTAACTTATGTTTGGATATATTTGAAAACAAGATACCCTTTGCGAATTAAATTAGCAGAAAGGATATGTAAGGATTGAAAAAGTTAGTTGATTGAAGGAAATAATCAGAACTGTCAAAATATATTTTAAAATAACTATTTTTAAAATGAAAAATATACTCAACTTATACATTGTTTTTAAAAAAAATAAATAAATAAATAGCTTAATTTCTAAGAAAAGGAATTTTTATAAAATAAAATAAAACAGAATTTGAACATGCACTAATTATAGAAACATTTTGTATAAAACCTCTTCTTATAGCTCTTATATATGGGTCATATTGGAGCTAGAAAAACTTATAGGTAACAAAGGCAGCTATCAATATGGGCCAGAGCCCACGACACAGCCCAAAAGAAAACATCATTGTTGACGACAAAAAAGAAATTCTTTATTGGACACGATCGAGATTAAAAATAGAATACCCATTGGTGAGCTAACTCCTTACTAACTTGTTTTTAGTTTTCTTTTTTAAAGATTACTAACTTGGTTTTAAATTTAGTGTGAGTTTATGCAATGGCCCTAACTCTTAAAATATGTCAATGATTCATCTTTGAGATTCAGTGAATATGTTCATTATGGTTTTTATATTTTAGGTCCATAGAGCAATCAAAACTCTTTTTGATTTCGTTCAAAACTTCAAGTAGTATATGCATCTATCAATATGGGCCAGAACCCACAACACAGACCCAAAAACCCACATTATTATTTTTTATTATTATTATGGAACAGACATCAACAAAGCCGGCATGGTCCCTCCAACACATTCTACAAAGTACAAATAGAAAAGTCTAAAAAGATGAACGACCAATTAAACATTTCCTAATAATATTGCACATTACATTATCTATAAAAGCAGGGCCTATTTCTTTACTTGGCTGCTCAGCCACCCAATGTTTCTCTTTCACGTTCACACCTGAAATTCAGAATCTAATTCTTTTCATGTTTTTGTTATATAATCATCAATTTTTTAATCAATAATTTTGATTTCCTAATTCATCTTATAACTTACACTTCTCACACCAAATCTCAAGATATTACTATTACATTGTTGAATTACATCTTATAGTTGGAAACGAGTGAGAGCTTTTTCGTTGATAAAATAGTTAGGAAGAAAATACATGCAAATCACAGCTTACCACTTAAATTTCCTAATTTATATATTAATTTAATAATTTAAAATTTTAACAATAACAATATAAAAGCTTCCAAATCTAGTTCATGGTGAGCAAGCATGACGCCACCCCATCATCATCATCAACCATTTTCGTTGCGACGGCGTCGTTCTATCCCGAACATAATAAAAAAAGGTTGATCGAGAAATAAGATTAATTAAAATGTAAAGCCACCTTGGTCAAATTATTCTAATCTTTATGTTCAACGTTACCCAAGATAAATAAATAAAAAAAAGCTTTATGTTCAATTATAAATATTGATCGAGCTTCCCTCTATTATGCAAATTCCAGGACTTGGGTGTTCATCAAGCATAATAGAAAGAAACAGAGAAAAGAGTACGTAGAACCAGAGAGACCTTAGGAGAACATCAATGGCTGTCAAAGTTTATATTGTGTATGTATTTAATATTATTATCTATCTTTATTGTTCAGATATGAAGGGCTTTCGTTAATCTTTCTTCAAACGTGAATTTGACAGGTACTACTCAATGTACGGACATGTGGAGAGACTAGCAGAAGAGATAAAGAAAGGAGCTGATTCTGTGGAAGGTGTTGAAGCCAAATTATGGCAGGCACGTGTAATTTATGTTTCAGATATGCATTCAATTTTATCTTTGCTTTAGGTTCATTCTTTCTTTTAGTAAATATAATACATAAAATAAAGTTTGCTAGTAATTTTATTGCCCAGGTTGCACTGTTATATAATTGGTTTATTTTTTGTTTTTCTTACGTGTCAATAATCACTTTTATTTAATTGATTTTTATTATTAACATAGTTATAGGAAAAAATACTAATAAGCATTTTAAAATAATAACAGACTTTCAATATAACTGTCTCAGCTACTTTTTCCAAAGTTGTGTTTAAATTTCTTTTGACCATATTTTCCGATTTTCCATGACCTCTCCAAACCCCTTTTTAAGGCTACCTCTGTTCTTTTAACTAGATCATGTAACATTTTTTTTTTTAAGAATTGCATGATTAAGACATTAATTAGTGCATCATATTATCCATACATGTAACCAAACTCGCGGTATAAAACTCTGTTGTTGTGTGATTGAGATTACTTTCCAAAGATGTTAAAATTTGGTATGTTGACTTGAATGAAAATATGAGCAGGTAGCTGAGACATTGCCAGAGGAGGTTCTTGGTAAGATGAGAGCACCACCAAAGAGTGATGTACCCAACATTACCCCAAATGAACTCTCAGAAGGTGATGGTTTTGTCTTTGGCTTCCCAACAAGGTTTGGAATGATGGCTGCTCAATTCAAAGCTTTTATGGATGCAACTGGGGGTCTATGGAAAACACAACAGCTTGCAGGCAAACCTGCTGGAATCTTCTACAGCACTAGTTCCCAAGGTGGTGGACAAGAGACTACTGCGTAAGACCCTTTATCTGAATATCCATTTTCTTTATCAATGGAGAACAGACAAATATTGATCAATGACTTTGCACTAATGAAGAAAATAAATATAAAAAGTTTTTATTAAAATAACCATTCATTGTTTACATTGTAATATTGAAGAATTTTGATGAGTTTTTAGGATCAATTTAAAGTATCTAAAACTGATAGAATTTTATTGAAAAAATAAGTATTTATTACATTTAAAATATAAAATACAATAAATGTTTATTTTTTAAAAAATTACTATTTGTTATACTTAAAATCAACTGTAAAAATAAATATTAACGAAATCGTTTCATATTACTTGATTGGATACTAATGATGAGCAATTGTGAAATCTATGACAGGCTTACAGCTTTAACTCAACTGGTTCATCATGGAATGATATTTGTTCCAATTGGATACACATTCGGTGCTGGAATGTTTGAGATGGAAGAACTCAAAGGTGGAAGTCCATATGGTTCAGGAACTTATGCTGGTGATGGCACAAGACAGCCAACCAAGCTTGAATTAGAACAAGCATTCCACCAAGGGAAGTATATTGCCACCATCACAAAGAAACTCAAGGAAGATGCATAATGCTGAGTCAATATAGATTTACAATTAAAGGATGCTTCAAAATTGTTGATCATGTCTTATTTGAAATTTTAGTCCCATGTTGTTTTGGATGCTATAGCTTTTTATTTTTGAAAAAGAAAATGTTTTTTATTGAGTTCTATTCTTGTATTGGTATTTATTCAATAAATGGTGTTTGTATGTTTTGTCCTTTAAGCTTAAAAAATGCTTGTTCCCTTTTTCTGTATTCCCATTTCTGCAAATGTGATAGTGTAAATGCCAACAATCAAGCACAAATTCATTCCAAGACGTGTTTGAAAGAGCATATGCATTAAAGTCTCTTCAATTAAGCAAATGGTCTATCTGTCACATGATTCTGACCTGGAAAGAACATAATTCAAAATTACTTTGCTTGTACGTAACACTGATCGCAAAGTTTGAAGAAATTAATTTCCAAATATGTGAATACAGCACATCCCTTAATTTGTTCACATTTCAAACCCTGCTTCAGCACGTTCAATGCTTCAAGTGTAATTTATGCAGTTTTTCTATTTTTCTTATAAGCCTAAAGTGTATTATTAACTTGCAATGGGAAGCCATATTTCAATTGCAATATTGTGGTAAAAAAAAAGCTCAATTCACAATCTTGTAAGATTCTTTAAAAGAGTTTTTTTTATTATTATTATTCCTTACATTTTAAACTCCTTTGTTTGAAATGTGTTTTAGTCTTCCGATAATACATCTTTCCTTTCGTAATAAAACATTCACTTTGCGTTATTTTTTCCAAATTTATTTTTTAAAATTAAAAATAAAACAAAATATAAAATACAATAAAAATTTGTTAATAAATTATTATTATTAATTACTTAAAGTCCTCTTAAAAACATAATGTTATCATTTTACAAACTTAATCAACATCTTGGAGTCTCACTATCTTAATGCATTCTTGTTTGGGCCTTGTTCTTTAGAAAAATATTTTTTGTATCACTAAATTGGGACACCTTCAGAATTCCTTTGTATATTTATATTGTACTTTTGGGATGGGTACTTACAGAAGCATAAAAGTAAGAGAGAGTTAAAAAATAATGATTTACGGTGTCATATATAATATTAATTTTTAGTGATTCAAATAACGGAATTGTTGTTCTTTTTGTGCTCTATATAGTAAGATATTGTAATTAATGAAAAAATGTAGTAAGATTTTTAGTTAAGGTTGATAAATTGTTTGTAATAACATTGTTTTCTTGCCATCTAACAATCACGAAGTTTGATTCAAACTTTCTGTTGGCTAGTTCCTTCATTTTTGTGACCATGTTTCTTACCTTAATTTCTGCTATATTTTATTATCTCTATGATTAAGATGTTGAAATTTTTTATTATTATTGTTTAATGACCTGTTAAAAATTTATAGATAATTTTATTTGTAATTTATTTCTAAATTAATGAATAAAATTAGGATCAATTTTCAGTTATGATTTTTTTTGTATTTAAAGTTGTAAATGTGAATGAAAGTGTGAATTTCAACTTTCATTATAGAATATTAATCTAACCTTACAACTATATATTGGATAAGTAGGAAATTTTAATTAAAAAAATTTCACCAATCAGCTTGCAATAATTTTTTCAGAAGCAAATTCTTTGTATTAAGATCTGTTGTATGACAGGTAAAGTGGTTGATGCTAACTGATGTTTGTTTTGCCTTTTCCTTTCGAAATAGGCTTAGAAAGTACTTGTTCCCTTCTTTTGCATTCCCCTTTCATCAATTTTATTGCCAATAAATAAACTGGCACGTACATTTAAACATGTTTACTCAACTGAGCTAATGATATCTATCCATCTACTGATTCTTGCGTTGCATGAAAGTAGTTGGTTTTTCTCTCGCATTTGACAAACTTTGCATGGTTTGATGACAGTAATATGCAAATATTTGTATGTTGTAAGTCTCTTAATCTGTTCATTCTGACGCTTCAGCGCATTGAAAAGGTACATAGTTAATAAATGAAGAAAAATGAAAACGAAAGTTGCAACCCGTTCGTTAATAATTGGATTTGGATGAGTTCAGCTCTACTGATATCGTTAGCTGTATATACTATTTTTGAAACGTTCTCCAAAGCAAATGCAGTCACTGTGTCACATGGAACAAGCAATGCTTGTGTTACATAAAAAGGGCACACCTACTTTACCACACGGTATACATATACTACTCCTTCATTAGACATATTTTAAGTCGATTTAGATTATAAACTAGAAGAGATAGCTTGGCTCTTTCAATCCATATGAGAGATTTACCACAACAGAACAAATTGGCACCTTCTCCCTACATTAATGTTTTGCAATTCCTTCTTGAACCAACATATATAAGCGTCATTTCTATATTTTCTATTTTTCATTTTTCTTAAGAAAAAATACACACACATCTATATATAATTGAAACAATACTGATTAGACACTCCATGCGACATAAGTAGGCAGCTGTCACAAAGAAGAGAAATATTCTGATACACATTGCTTTTTCTTTCTCTTTGATATGAAAAAAAATCTAGTGTCATGTGATTCACATAGCTTTTTGGTATTCTTGTCCATTTTTTCCCTTCCTATCATTGGTTTTTGTCTGTAATTTTCTACTTCTAGCTTTGCGGCATCCAATTCCACCGTTTCTAAACAAAAGGTGCCTACCCTCTTATCTTTTCCCAACTAGCTAAACTAGCCACTCTCTTGAATTCCAGGAGCAATTTTTTTCTCTCTATTTTATTTTATTTTATTTTTCTGGATTCCAATGAAACGGTCCTTTTCAAACATGATGAAGTAGACCAGACGTACACATGACAAGCTCAGAAACTTGGAATGGAATCTAAAGAAAAGTTACTTGTGGGCTTGTTGTACAGTGAATGATTAGATTAGCTCATTGCTCTTTTATCTTCTCAAGTGCTTATATAAATGCTAAGCATGATTATAGTAGAGCTATAAGTGAAAGTTAAGCAAGTATTTGTCTCAAGAATTGCAAAGGGTACCATAAAAAGTTGAGAAAAGGGATAGGAATTATGGAATCTATAGAAAATTGATATAGGCCCAAATAATTTGAAGATTCTATTTCTCCTCTTTTTTGGTCCATGTACTCTGGTATCAATGAAATTCATTGATTAGCAATCATGTTTTAGCATTATGGGACAGAAATAATTAAAAACAATGAAACAATATTTCTTATATCAGCTAAAGAACACAACAGCGCCAAAATAATCTAAAAATAAACTATTTTTTTTATTGCTATTGAGTGGCATATTCATGAAAACAAGGTGCCATAGACTTTGAAGATGCCCATCAAACAGTGAGAAAAACTATATTTAATTTACCAATTCTTTTCAAAATGAATGTGCTCAATATACGGTTAATCATGTTACTTAATATATAATTATTCCACTAATCTAATGCTACAGCAGAAGTATAAAAATGGTGAATAAGAAAACGGTTATTGCTGGTCCCCTCCCATGTCTGTTATTCACTTCTAACTTCTTCCAAACTATATACCTTTGTGCCAAATGCTTTCCACATAAATAAGGGAATAGTAGATTCCTCTCATAATTTACTTTAATTAATTGATTAAACTCTACTTCATGATGAGATAACCCCTGAAAACATAATTAATTAAATCAAGTACGACAATTTCTCAGTAAAGACAAATTTTTGAAGAAAGTAATTAGGCTTGAATATAGTGTGGAGCCCCATGACACACTAGCTTTGCTACACAATAATGGCTAATGCTTAAATGCTCTATCTTTGAATTAGTTTATGTTCTGATCTTGTTAGAGAAGTTTGAAAGTGAAATTTTGGTAAAGTACTTTTGAGCAGAAGGGGAAATTCTCCCTGGCCCAGGACAAAATAGTTTATAATACTCTCTGGCCAATAAGTTAAAAGTCATAACAAGTATAGTAGCTTGGTTTGAAGACATGCCAATCTAGTAAATTTTTAATTCCATAATTGTGTGATTTTAATATGATATTCTATAATGGTCTTGTGAATTTTGTTGTTATTATGTCTCAGTTTTTCTAATATAATACAGTCCAAAGAGGAATAAAGTCAAGCCTTACCCTCCCAACAACCATTTCCATATATTAGTATTAGACCTTTGAAAGTTTGTATGCAAAATTCACTAAATAACCATAAAATAGTAGATAGATAAACTAGTTATATCATTTATAAAATAAAATAAAATAAAACATATATTCTTTAAGAATTGGCTTGTTTCAAAAAGATATGATTATTTTATTAACAATTTTTAATAAAATTTAAAAATATAGTTATCTCCTAAAATTAAGTTGAAACAAATGTCATAAGCTATGTTGATTAAGTTTACGTTTACCAATTGATTATATTTAGGGAGGTATTAAACAAAAAAGTTTATTTGCCACAAGTGATTGATTCATTCAGATATGTATTGGATTACCCCTTAAATAAGGATATTAGTTTCAATTTTTTGTGTGAAAAAACAATTTATAAAAAAAAAGTTAATTTCTCTTAACTCAAACAATATTAACAGTCTAGATAAAAATAATGAAAGGATCAATTATTTTCAATTTATAATGAGAGAAATAAATCTTGACTATTTAATCTTAAATTAATGATAAAAATTAGATGTAAAAGTCGTGAGTTTTTAAGTAGTCATATGACATTAAAGTAATTTTTTTAATTTCAATTATTTATATATAATTACATGATCAATTTATTTTTCTTATTTTCAAATAAAAATATTCTTTTTACTAGATTTTTCACTTTTTAAAATAATTCTTAAAAATTAACAAAATTATTAAAACGAATCCAAACATTGACTTATTAATTAAACTTTTTTTCAACTAAATACTAAATTATATAAGCTATATTCAAAATTGTTTAATTCTTTTATAAAATAATTATTACGTATGCACACGTCATTTAATTTGTGGACCATCTCCAGAACATTGCTAAAGATAAAAACATTTATGGGTTTTCTCTTCTTTTTACATGTGCTTCCAATGGAAGCCCCTCTATGTGACCATTCACTACAAAGCACAAAGCATGTGTGCAAGCATCTGCAATATATATATATATATATATATATAATTTGCTTGTAAAAGTAGACATTTAATTTGAACTCAATTTTAAACCAAAAACTGAAAGGGGCAATGTGGGGCACCCTCTGACTTCCACTTACATATTCTAAATAAATAAACAAATGAAAAGTGAGATTTCCAATCAAATGACATATCCCACACTTACTCACTCTTGTATATTTCAATGATTCCTTCAAATTAGTTTTCTTTTTCTTGAACTAAAGGTAGTTCCACCTCTATTCACAAAATAACAAGAAGAAATTAATAAAGGTCCTTTATCTTCCCCTAACAACAATTTTCTATCTAACTCAGACCAAGAACTTCCCTATATTCCGCAACATAATTTGTGATTCCTAATCCCACCCATGTAAGCATATATAATTCTTCAATTATTACAATAACTAAAGTGTGCTCCAATGGTCCCAAAATTGGCCAAATTACCTCTTCATGCATGTAGTTGGTCCATATATGGCCTCTCTTGTGAAGGGTCATTTCCCTTTCTTCCCACTTTCAAGCCATTTTCCATGTTCTCTTTCCATCCCTCTAATCGTTTTATTATCTTTTGCATCTCATCAAAACTAACTAACTTTACATATTAATGTGGCCTTCCCTGTTGATTTCTCTTTCTTTCATCTTATCATTCCCAACTTGGCCAGGTTTTGATAAGACATGTCCTTGTTGGTGTGAGTACTGCTTCCGTGCCACTTTTTCCACCCATTAATTAACTATCTATAAGTTCCTCCAAATGTTGGTGTCCAATATTCAACAGTGGGTTCGTGAGTCACAGGAAATGTACTAGAAACTGGCACCAAACATAGCCCTCGGCTTCTTAGATCCTGCTTTGGTCCCTCACATTCCTTAGATTTACCAGAACTCTGCAATATATATAAAATGTCAAAATATAAAACAATATAAATATAACCTCTTAAATTTGAACCAATTTATCAGCATTAATGCATAATAATTAATTCCAGTTTACCTCTCTCTTGTTGGAAAGCTAATATTTACTTTCATAAATGTTTGTAAATTTTAATGAAATCTACCTAATTAATACAATAAGAATATTCATGCACTATGTAACATTTAAAAAAAAAAATACTAACACCATATTTTTTTTTTTAGATTTTGGGACTGATTTATTTTTATAAAAAAAGTGAAACTAACCAATTAAAAAATGTGTTAAGAAGCTCGTTAAAAAAAATGTACTGATAATATATCTAATAATTTTACTTCCCTTCCATCTTAATCTTTATTTCTTTCTTTCGTTAATATCATACCACCATATGAAGTTTTTCACTTTCTTTCTCTCTTTTCTTTCACCTACTCTAGAATAGAGGGTACACGTATCATTTTTCTAATTAATACCTATTAAAGAAGTACATAGATACAAAATTTCAACACCAGAATATCACAAAAAAGTTCAACATAAAACCATCCATGGATCTCTTTGATATCTGCAGTTATTTTCTAAGAAAAGGAAATGTTTTGAATATTACCTGCTGATGCTGTATCGGAGCACCACTTTTCATATATGGGGTGCTTAAAACCTGTGTATAAAAAAAATTTTAAAAAATGAGATGAAAATTTTGCTTTTGAATAAGCATTTATTAATGGGAAACGGCGAAATGGGACTTACGGTCACTTGTTCATGGAGGAATTTGATATATTCGATGGCTTCAGAAAGCACTGATGCTGTATCAGTCTGACACACAGCATAGCACAATCAATAAACAACATTAGTATAATCACACTTGCTATCGTCTTTTTTTCTTTCTCACATAACATAAATACATAGAAGAAATCATGGTCATTCACAAAAGATACTAGAATAAATCATTTTTATCATAAGCTCACCTTTCCGAAAGGTGAAACCAATTGTTGGAGTGCAGTGATTCTGTCCCCCATCTTCTCCTTTCTCACCTAATTAAGAAGAGAAGAGGTACAGTTCAAGTTCATATCCATGATGATTATGGACTGAAAAATAACATAGTATATATTTATATATACCGAGAGAAAAATACTAACATTACACTTTTTTAAACATACTCTATAACACTTTTCTGTAATTCATCAGTTTTCTAAAAGGTTAAAACAATTTTTGAAAAAATAATTTACTTTACAAGTACTTTTGATTTTTGAAAAATAATGATTATATAAAATATGTTAAAGAAGTATGTTCTAATATAGATAAAAAGAGAATAAATAAAGAAAGAGAAATTAAAGATAAAAAGTTTAAAGCTTCCCCTACTTGTTAAAAGGTTAGTTGCACTTATTGTACCTTAAAAGCTGGTAAAGGCGATGGGGTTTCGTTCCTGGGCCTTTTGGGTGCAGGCTCTCCCCCACTTTTCTTCACCACAGCACCCGAGTCCCTAACGTCAGATATATTCTGCAAAACCATGGATGATCCAAATGAGGAAAAGAAACAACAAAAATATACCTCAAATGTAGTAGTGCTGCATTTCAACCCTAATGAAATACAGGTTTAATAATGTATTTAATCCTGAAAATACAACATTTGTTTAAAATTAATCTCTACTTAATTTTTTTAGTCTCTAATGAAAAAAGAAGGATGATTTCTAGCAAATATAAAGATTAAAACAAAAAAATACATGTTTTCAAGAAACAAAATTTAGGTGCAGCTCGTTAAGTATTATTGGTATTGTTTAGTAATCAAATTTAGAATTTACTTTGATAGTCTACAACAACATTAAACGCAAATAATTTATTAAAGAAAAATTATAATTTTGATTAAAAAATAACTGTAAAAACACAACACATAAGTTTTGTCCTAATATATCATTGGAGTTTTACTGTATCTTCTTAATATTTTTTTATTACTCTATAAAGTAAGTTTTAAATAAAAAAGTGCATACATTTATTATTTAAATATATAAAAAATTAATATTTTTATATTTAATAATCAAGAGAATTTGTAAAAAAAAAATTGGAAGAGTTAAAATTACTGTATATCATCATCATGGTGTTACTTACATGTTAAATCTATATCTATTATGTATGCAAAAATGCTGTGGAATACCTTTGATTGTACATCGAAATTCGATGTGGAAAAGGGGGGCTGCAATGAAGGGATGAAGCTGGATCGAGCATCCTTAATAGCAGCCTCAGAATTAGCATTCCAAAAGGGGGCGTTATTGGTGAAATGCAATTGGTTATTGGGTGGTTGTTTCGGAGGTGAAGCTCTCAAGAACTGAGGAACTTTAGACCAAGAAGGCACCAACTCAATATTAGAACCTAGTCCATAACTTGCTGCTGATGAGTAAGGAAAATTCATGGTTCGGCTCTCAAATGAAGCAGCACCACCTTGTTGAGGTTGGTTATTATTGCTCTCGGATCCTAATAGTCCTTGCAATATTGAAGAAGGGTTCCCAACATAATCCATCTGAAAAGTACAAGGCAAACCTTGACTTGTGACAGTGCTGTCCCCAGAGCTATATTGAGGACTAAACTGTGTTTGATCCAAAGAGAAACCCCTTTTGAATTCATTGGTAGATGACTCAGGAGAGAACAACTTTTCAGGTCTCCAATGAACTTGAACATGATGAGGAGACAACCCAATATTGTTATTCCCAGTTTCATGCTGAAAATTGGGGCTTGATGAGCTCAAATTCTCTTGCAACATGGACCTGAAACTCCCCTCTGAACCCTTCTCACCTCGCCTATACCCATCAAACAAACACACAAAAAGTTACAAACTTTTTGCTTGAATATTATTCCATTAAGCTAAGATAGAATGAAAAGAAAAAGAAAAAACAGAAAATGAAAGATCAAACTTTTTTTGATTGTTAAAGTCCTTGTCTTGACATAGACGACACTTACAACAAAGATGCTTGATTCCAATCCATGGCTTGGGATGAAAGGCCCAAACCCATCATGTGCAAGTTGGGATCATTGGAAGAAGTGGCAGAATCATGAGGCTGAAGCTGTTTCTGATGATGGGTATCATGGAAAACCAAAGAGGAACTACCTGAGACAGAGTTGTCCATAGAAGAATTAGACCTTGGCTTCATGTCTTGCTGAACCGTATCATGTTGTTGCCACCCAAAGTTTCCTATGTTGGTAAGTCCAGAAGATGAAGAAATAGACTGCGATTCCCCACTCTCAAACCTCACGTTTCTAGCTGATTCCCACCAGTTTCCACTTGCTGGAAATTGATCATCTGACATGGTTGATGTTGTTGATGATGTTTTTGTTATCGTTGTTGTTGGTCGGTTCAATCTTCACCAGACATGAAGATGAAAATACTTGAAAAAATTGAGGATGTTATGATAAGTTTGTGTTATTTGGGTATGTGAGTGCGAGTTATGTAATAGTAACAATAACCTGTGTGGTGGTGCTGTGAGAACTGAGAAGGGATGAGTGAGGTCGTTTAATAGAAATGAATGAATGGAAAAGGGTTCAAAACTTGAGTATTTATATTGTGAAGAGAGAAAAATGAGGTTGTTGAGGGAATGGGAACAGTGATAGACTAAGAGGAATATGGTTGACGGCCTTTGACAATTCAGGGGGTGATTAGACAGTGGAATTAAAGGTCATTTTGCAATCGAATTTGGTTTATTCCAAATTATTATTACTTTTTAGAATTTCTCTTTTTCTTGTTGGCTGGCTGTAGCAAACAACATATGCTTCATAAATTGTTTATTATAAAAAGGAAAAGATTACAAAAATATATCAAACAAATCAAAATTTCTAAAAATCTTCACCATGTGTAACTTTGTTGCCAATTCAAATTATCATTAGTAAATTACAAGTTTTTATTTTAATTTTTTAAATACTGTAGTATATTTCTTGATAGTAAAAAGAATTACTAAATTTGTTACACGATTTTTTTTTAAAATTTATTACTTCATTTTTTTTATTATTTTTATTTATTTCATGCATGATTCTTGATTTTTAAGTTTACATCTTTTAAAACTTTATTTTACTGACCTATAAATTTTTTATAACATGAAAATTTAAAATAGAAATTCGAATACTAATATGAGAAAGCGCAAAAGATTTTATAAATATTTTTAAAAATTAATTAAAAATTTATAAATTGAATAGAAATAAGAAAAAAAAAGTATTTTTTTTTCTTTTTAATCATAAAAAGGAAGGGCTGGGTGAAGATGAAATTTAAAGTGACATATAAAATTAATATTGTTTTAAGAAACTCCAAAGGATAAGTGTAAAACGAGAGAAATTAAGACATATAGACCAGTCAAAATGTAAAATATAAATAAGATATTAAATACAAAACGATTAAACAAAATAATGTGCCAACATTAAAAAAAAATTAAAAATAACAGAGTGGAAGTTGATTACAAAATCATATAAATTTTTTTAACTAAAAAAAAATCATACAACATTTTAGAACCTTAAATACTGATTAAGTGTTTTTTTTTTTTTTTACTTTGCAAATATATAATTTAAAAATAAAGCTTGTTTTATCGAATCGTCCTTTTCAACCTACTGTAGGATGAGCTTGCACTACCGTATCTTCAAGAATTTCATCATACCCTTTTAAAACATTTTACTCCTAATTCTCTCAATAATTATAAAATAAAATATTAGAAAAAAAAAAGGTTCAATATCTTAAAATCATTAAAAAAAACTAAAAGAAACCATTATGAATAATTAAAATTATTTTATCTTTAAATTGAAATTAATCACACTCTCAAGTCCTTCCACATAAAACCAAGACAACAGCTTCCCCGTTACGGGATTCTCCGAGAAAAATATTTAAATTATAGCTTTACGAGTCAATTATTTTTTTAATTTTTAAATCCAAACTGGGAACAAATTTATTAATTATTTAACGCTCTGGCCCTTTACATAAATAAAAAAAGAAATTAAAAGCTAAAGAATACGCTCTTACTAATTATTATTTCCCTGCTTTATGAGTTCACTTTTTTTCTTCTTTTACTTTTTTCTATTAACATAATCTTTAACGATATTTTTCTATAAACTTTATCGAAATTAATTGATCACTTTTATTTTGAGTTAAATCATTTCAAAGTCCTTATAACTCATCGAATTTTTACAGTTCAATATTTTTAATAAAATCTTTGTATTTTTTTAAGAAAATTAAAAACAAAAGTTCTTATTCGCTAATGATCATTAATTTTTATCAAATGTTTTAAAAGTTTAAGTAGGTTCATGCTTGTTAATACCCGTTAATTTTTATTAAAAATAGAAAATTTTATTCAAGATTTCCATGTAAAAATTAGTTATTGCCAATTAAGTATAAAAATCTATTCAACTATGTTATACGCCAAATAAAATTTTATAGTTCACTGAAATTTTCTTACAGATTTTTATGATCTAGCAACGGTTATTATAATTTTTATAATTAATTTATTGTATACTAATTTTTTAATATAATATGTTTTTTTTTTTTTACTAAAATCAATAATACAGATGATTAAATTGTTAATGAAATTATGATAAAAATGAAATATAACAGATTATATTGTAAATGGTTTATTGAATATTTTATTATTAATTATATTTTTTATGTAACAAGTATAGTTTCTATTCTGCTCAATATTAAGGATTGACAACTTTGGATGCTAAGAAATATAAGTCATTTCGTCAATCTCATTTTATTTTTACATTATTTATTAAAGATTAATATATTTTTAGTTTTAAAATTTTTTAAAAGTTACTCAATGATCGTTCTGTATAGACATTTATAATCAACAATTTTTGAATGAACTATAAACACTCTAAAAAACAGATAATTGATTAATTTTATAAAATAAGTTAAACATAATATTCATATACATATTTAAGTAAATGATATATATATATATATATATATATATATATATCCCAGCACATGTTATGATGAATTGTTATATATTTACCAATTTATATAAAACTTATTTTAAAAAATATATATTTTATAAACCCAAATTTTCTATATAACCAAAAAAAAAAAAATAGTGTGTATTTTCAAGTGTTCAATCTCTTATAAACAACTTTGATATATTTTATTAATAGAAAAATTCATTCATTTAATGAGTATTTATTATATAGAATAAATTTAATGAATATATTATGATTAATAAATGAAATTTTAATGATATTATTACTTAAATTTATTATATATCAAAACTATTAAATGTAACATTAAATATATATATATATATATATATATATATATATATATATATTCTTGTAAATCTAGTATTTGATTTTTAAAGTATTTAACTTTATTTTATTAATAAAAAAGTCACGCATTTAATAAGCATTTATTACATTTGATTTTTTATATAGCATCGGTTGCTGTTAAGTAGTGAATTTTATTTGTATATATTGATTTTTTATATACTTTAAATAAATTATTTTGTAATAATAATTTTTAATATTTTATTCTCTTAATTTTACTTTAATGCTCATATTTTAACATATGTGTGATTTTACTTCCCTTAATTTTATTTTCTTGAATTTAATTTTTTTAATTGTTCAAGTTAAATTTTCATTTCAAAAAAATTAAAAGTATAATTAAGTGTTTCTAAAATATAAAAATTTGAAGTTTTAATAGTTATTATTATACTGAGTAAATATATTATATTGAATATAGTTTTTAATAACATCATTTAAAGTAATATATTTGTATATATTAGTCTTAATAAATATGATAGCGCGTTAAATGTCATGCAATGAATTTTATTTTTTATATATACATAAATTTGTCAAACTCTACAACTGTCAATGGAGAATAACCAATAAGCTCAATACTCTTTCTGCCAATATAATTCAATTTAATGAAAATGTTTACGTTACATGTTATACAATCAATTGGCATGAGATCTCACAATTTTTACTACGTAAAATGTTTTCTAGAAACCCTTTTTCTCATGTAAAAATAACCCAATTTGATCTCTAAATAAGTTCTGACCAAATCATTTTGATGATTAAATCAGTATATTAATATTAAGTTTTATTATAATTATTGAAATTAATATCAATTTTTATAATTAAAGAAATAAATTAACCTAAATTATTTTATACTTTTTTCTCGTGTATACAACGTCCTTCTCTTTACACGACCCAACTGTTGAGAGTGATTCATTTCTAAAGTCGTCCCTTGAATTTCAAAGGGTTGAATGGCTTCGTGTAAAACGGGGTTGATTATTATGGATCAAGATTTATAAGATTAAAGACATCACTAGTCAACAAAATTTGGAAATCAAATAGTCACTTTCTTATGCCATTCATTATATTCAATGCAACCGACAACCGATCGAAAGCCATTTTCTTTTCCTTTTTACAATCGTAGAAATAAAGTTTGACTTAACATTTTCAAGTAAATTATTCACCTTCTTCGAAATTAATAGTGATTTAACTTATCATATGAAATGAAACAAAAAAACACTTTGATTCTATCAACTTTATAAAATAATAACATAAAGAAGCTTTCATGGGAATTTCTTTCTTTACACAAAGTTTTTATTATTTTTATTTTCATTGAGAGCCAATGGCTATATTTAACAAGAGTAATTAACAAGTCAGTTGAAAAATAAGAAAATAATAATAATTTTTCTCTGATTCAATGTAAAAACTAATTTTGATTGAGTCATTGAGAAGTTGAATTTTAGCCTCACGTTCAACTATTGTCAACTAGATATTTATATTACTACCTCCTCTTTGCTCACTCCTTTTGTTTTTCATCATCTTAAAACCCTTTAACGTACGTGGGATTAAATTTTTTCAAACACGAAATGATACGGTTAGTCCTATAAGTAACATCATCGTATTCACTTTATAATGAAGGCTCACAGCTAGTTGCTATCATATAGAGGTTTTCTTTTCTTTGAATTTTGATCTTTCGTTGTTCTATCCTTCTTTCCAAATATCTTTAGAATCTTTCTAAAAAGAAAAAATTGTTTGTCCTCACCACTTTCTTCATTTTCATCATCCTCGTTTGGAGCATAGCAAGTAGCCTTCAAAACAACAAATTTATCTTCTTTTGGAACTTTATCATATCCATAATTCTTTCTTCCTCGTTTTATATGTCTCTCTTCTGTGTGTGCGAATGAGTTATAATCCATACTACCCTTCAAATTTTACTTTTCTTAGTTTCTTGAATTACAATAAGTTTGAATTTCCAATTAAATAATGGACTAATCTTGTTACGAACAACGATGATACATGATAGTAAATGGTTGTGGCTGCAGTACTAACACTTGTAGTGAAGTAAAAAATTCATTTAATAAAAATTCTTGTTTTAATAATCTGTAATATTTAGTTAGATTTCTTTTTGAAGTATTATTTCATATATAATATTTGAATTTGGAAGTTCTTAATTTGTTATTAACTTTTATTTATCCTAATTTCTTAAGTCATTATATATTTATCACTTAATCTAAAACTTAATT